AGATCTTCAACGATTCAAATAGGCAGTTGTGTTTCGTTGCATGCGACGATGATGATAGAGCTTGTATCAAGCATTGCCCTTCGTCTACTCCCAATGTTGCCGAGCCAATGCCCGGCCAGTAGTCCTTCAAGCCAGTTATGTTGTAATATGCAAGAGGAAACTACTATGTCTACTTGGAAATTAAAAGGGAAATAATGATTGTTAAAAGAAGATCTTGAATAAGAAATCAACGTACTACTAACAAGTTTTTCGCAATGTATTTTCTTAAGTTTTTATGGATATGGGTAGTAGTAGTAGAGTCTATCTGACAAATTTGATCCCAAAAATGAAATTGGCACAATTTTTGGATTTCTTATTCTGAAAATTGAATTTGATAGATTTTTGAACAAATACAACTCCGTAAAAAAGATCACAATGCAAAGTATGTCATCTTAGCCCTGAATTCTGATGTTAAGTCTCCAGTAAAATATAAGATTGATTTCACTATCAGCACCATGAGAAGTTTTAATAACTTTAGAAAGTTAATTTAATGGCAAACCAAATTTAGAAATATTCAACTAATAAATGGGACGTATTACGTATATGCCTGCAATTATTTTTTTTTTTAATGTTTAATACCCAAAAAGGAGCCTCATTTTAGCACATTGTTGCACAACTTAGAAGCATCCCCATAGGCCAGTTGGTAAATTCTCAAGCACTACAAACAAATAATACATTAACCAAAGTGGACAAGCATGAAAACACAAAATAGAATGAATGTGCCGGCAAATTAAAACTACTGAACCCTGACTCTACTCCAACTGGATTCTTATCTCATCTCTCTCTTGTTTCCTTCTATATTTTATCTTCTTATATATATATATATCTCTCTCTCCCTCTAACCTTACACATATCAGCCTCTCTCTTTCTCTCTCTCAAAATGCCGATGTCAGCTATCTCAGAGAGAGACCAAGAAGAACAAGAAGCACAAAACTCCGACGAAGAATTTGACTCGGGCAACAATTGCTTAAGCTTTTTATGCTTCCCCTTTGGTCTCAAGATCGACACAACTTCATATAGATCTCTGTTGCTTGGAGATTCATCCTCAAGAGAGAAATGGTGGGAAAAGAGAAGCAGGAGTGCGAAAGAGTTTGTTTTGCAATCTATTGGGAGTATTAAGTTGAAGACGTTTGTGCAAAAGCTTAGGTTCAAATATAACGATACTATTGTTAAAAGGAGGAAGCCGATATTTCGCTATGATTCTAAGAGCTACAAGTTGAATTTTGATGGCAATGGAGTTGAAGATGGAGAAATTCTCTACTTCTCGGAGAGGACTGCTGCTTGAACGGGATAAAATGTTTACTTAGATTGTACGTATGAAGTTGATAAGTAGTATGCATGAAGTTGATTAGTAGTATGTATAAAATGTTTACTTCATACATACTTAGATTGTATGAAGTATGTATAGCTCTGTATACAATTAGGAATTCGTTTTCATGGGTTCATCATGTGTTACTGTGATTGTTTGATTCTAATACTTATCAGCCTTCGTGTAATTAAGGATTATGTATATTTACTCAATTATTGTGTCTATGTTGATCGGGTATTCTTCTTCGTTGATTTACATTCTGGTATAAAATTAACATTTTTATAGTTTTTTTCACTAACCAAATCTCTAAAATTCCCTCATAAACTTAGCCATTTCGCAACCAGCAATGCCTAACTTTATTAACAGCAGTGCTCCTATATTGAAAGGGTAGCAGCCAAGAGGTACTTTTCTAATCTCCAAAAGCAATGGAAAGCTATATTCACCCCTTGACAATATTTTTGACTCTTCGTCCTAAACAGAGCATAGACTAAAAGAGACTCGTACATGCAAGTACCATATGATAACTAACATTCACAGACAGACAATTCAAGCATTTATACCTAGTACAAATAAGAAAACAAAATATTTACCACCAAAGATCAATTACCTTTGTAAGCATTTTGACATAATTTACTGTCCAAATGTTTTTTACAACCACTTGCTTAGGACTACACTTTCTTCTTTCTACAAAAGTTTCCCATCCTTTTTCCAGATACACGAGATACAGTTGGGAGAACTTGTAATTTACAAACAACATCAAGTATTTTCACTGTCCAAACTAACACTAATTGGTTCACAAAGCCCATATCCTTCTGATAAACTAGTTTCTTCCCCATCATTATTAGGTTTTTGCTCATCGGGATCTTTTTAATTTCATCGTATTATAGAGAACAGATAGAAAACAAGACACATCATTTCTGCCCCTTTTGTGGAAGAGAGGCTGCGATTGACCGCAGCATCTCCGCAACCTCAGTGAAGCTTGGCCTTTCTGATGGGTCAGCGGACCAGCATTTCTCCATCAAAGCTCTCCACTCAGGGCCACAAGGCTCGGGCACTGGGGGTCGTAATGTATTGCTCACAATTCCACCTGTTTGTTAGAGAATGCAGACTGATCAACAACAATACTGATGCACCACGACCAAGACATCTACATCGGATTCAATCCAATAGACTTTCACAAAGATTGGGGCCAATATCATGGAGGCTATATACAAGGTTGTCAAAGGACCATACTACTACACCAAAACTCGGGAGCTACAACGAGGGTTGAGGTCATAAGATTATAACTTCGTGCCCCCGTACGCAGGATTTTATGGGCTGAAACCTGGACTCAGGGAGCAATTTTTTCTTTAAGATCCGCCTCAGAAATTTGTGGCCGATAAGACTTGAAGTTGGGCTTCTATGATACCATGTCAAAAGACTTTGCCACAACACCAAAACTCCAAAGTTGTGGCAAGGGTTGGGGGTTACAATTTTATATGAAATAAAGGTAAACAGCTAAGCAGAACCTTAGCATAAATCCTACAAGGCTGGCAAAAGTCAGGACATGGAGACCTAGCTCACTGGTAAAGCAATTCAAGCTCATGCAAACTCGGAGCTACTTTCTCAAAATGATCTTAATAGTCTAAAGGGTCTACATTACTCCGATATTTTGCATCCTCTCTTGTGGGGGGGGTGGGGGCGGGGTCATTACTCCAAAGAGCCATTGAAGCAGGACTCCCATTAGACAAAGCAAAATAGCAAAAATAGACGGATCCACTGTTCAAAAACACATTTTAGAAAGACACGATATTATTACCTATAATTGCTCCATAGTGCAAGTCAGCATATGGTTCTTCCCCGGTAAGGAGCTCCCACAACACAATCCCAAAGGAGAAAACATCAACCTAATAATATAAATTTCAGACAATGAAAAATGGAGCTTACATTCACTTACAAGTGATGGGTCAAGGTGTTTGTACAGACCTTTTCAGAAACGAGGCTACTGATGCCATTCAGAAGCTCGGGAGCCATCCATGGAAGAGTTCCTCGTACTCCACCAGAGATGAGGGTCTGACACTTCACTTTGGATAGGCCTAAATCACCAACCTGAGAGAAAGTGCAACAAGAAGATCAAGCCATTAAAGGGAATTGCTTTTCTCAAAGGTCAGACCCTCATCTCTGCCTTTGCTCTTATTCCAGTTCAAATCATAATAGGTAACCTTGGCTTTCCAATATCTAAAAGATTTCATAAGAAAAAGGCACCCATCATAATGAATGCAACTGGCCAGCAGGAAAACCCCGCCTTTCGAGTTTAAAAATTTTCTGGTTTCATGTCTGTCAATACTGACAGTTGCGCACGTTTGACCAGCATGCAGTATATGATTTTAGGAAGGCAAAAGAGATGTGTAAGATATGATGGACCACGTCATCATGAAAACCATATATAAAGGTCAAATGCCAGGAACCATGGAGCCATCCAGTGCTTATACATAAAAAGGCTTAAACAAACATTTGAAAGAACCTTTAAGCAGAGAATATGTCAACAAAACATGAACACCACATAAGCATGTGAGGGATTTACCGACATCTACTGTTGACTTATTGGATTGGATCTTCAATGTTTTTCTCATTTTACTTGGTGGAACAGATGGATATAAGTCGTTGAGATTTTAATTATATTTCTTCCTAAGTTAATAAAACATGTCTTAATCACCACTCATTTTGGTGTCTACTAAGGTTGAATCATACACATGTGAAAATGCTCGTGCAGAGAAAAAAACAAAAATACTCATGTCATCATGGCCCATTCAGTACGTCTTAAGGATATCCATGTATTTGGTTCGTATCGCAACATATCCATACTCGTGTGCTTCCTAACAGATCTTAAATACAACAGAAGTCAAACGTTTTTTTATAAGAATTCAGCTATGGTCCTCTTTTGCATTCCCTAGGGAAAGCCTTTCATCAACGTCAAAAGAGTATTCATACCTCTGCTCCACAGAAGGTTAATAATGAACACTAGGACATCTTATAAATGCAATACTAGTATAACAGAAAATTACTTGGCTCATTGGCCATAATTCTATCTACCTGTTTGTACAACTCCCACAACTCTGACTTAATGATAGCCAAAAAGGTCAACCAATGTTTACCATCTTTGACATTAGGAGGGACAAGGTTTAGTAAGTTCATGCAGGCAAATGAACACCAGAAGCACCCTGCAAGCATTCCGCACAAAGCAGACGTCGATGGCGAGAGCCTAAATATAACTCTTACCTTACTGCATTCTTTAACTTGACAGAAATAAACCACGAATTAAACTCTTTCAGGCCTACCCCAATTATGGTCTACATAAAATTCTTTATGAACTATTTTCAGCTGCAAATCATCATCCTATATTCCTATCTAGATAAAATATCGCATGTGACATCCTTACTCATTAAAGGAAGACCACCCGCACCAAATGATAAGGGTTTAATGGGAAGTGGAAGATATGTACCAAATCACCTGGAATGGCAAAACTTTGAGATAAACTCATAAAAGAAAAGCACATATTGATTTTTTTTCAACAGCCAGTCAAAAGTCAGTATATACATGTTTATCTCACAATATGTGACATTTTAGGTACACATATCTACAAACTCATTGCGATTGTTGGTGAAATTTCTTCACTAACATATGTTCCGACTTCTGAATGAAAAACCTATCACGAAGCAATAATGTGATCAATAGCGTTGCATGAGGAAAATAGGAAGGCAAGAATGGCAAATAGTTTAAGAACAAATTGTCACCGTTGAAACAGTCTTACTTCAAATAGCTCACATACTTTGAAATTATATATTGTTATGCTCTCTTCATTATTGTGCTCACATGAATCTAAAAAAGTACATAAATAATCTTGAAATGACATTTTGCAGAGACAATTTTCAGATTTCTCGGGTTTCTACACATTTGCTTATTGTACACACTACTAAAAGAGAGTTGCCAGAGTTAGTACGCAAGTAGGTAGCATACAGTGTAGATCTCACACGTAAACCAAATATGAAGATGATGACTGGCGTTGTCATTTCCATTTTTTGATAATTTCAACGCTTTAAGGTATTACTAACTGCCTAATCAAGTGGCTTTAACATGAGCTTATTTTGGAGATCAAGGAAGAAACTGACACAAAAAATATAAGTTCTTCACATCCAATAAAAATTGCAGAACAAACAAAATAAATATCATAAAGAGAAAACATTGAGACATCTTCAATAAAAAGATATGGAGAGGCATCAGAAACAATTCTTAGAAAATTCTACAAAAATGCGATCATACCTTGCATATAGGACGTTGAGGATCCCTCAAATTAACAAGCAAATTGTCACTTTTCAAGTCAAAGTGTACAATGTTCCTACCATGCAAGTACTCCATTCCAAATGCAACATCCATCGCTATTAAGAGGCGCTTATGCTGGTCAAGCATCCTACAGAACAAGAGTTATTTTACGACATTTAGAAACAGGCAAATCATAAATTTAAATGATAAAATACTAGCATGGTCCAATTAGATTATTGTGCAAACAAGGTACATATAATGAAAATTTTCATACTTGTTATTCCTTTGTAAAGCAGTTCGTAGAGAACCATTAACCATGTACTCAGTTACTGTCGCAACAGAACCACCAGGGCCATCCAAGACAACTCCATAAAACGCCACGACATTTGGATGATGCAAATCAGCAAGTTTTCCGGCCTCATTCCAAAAGTCAGCCCTCTGAAAATATGTGTACACACAAACATAAGGTAGACAAACTTACGCGCGAAAGGAAAATGGATATGCCCATTCTTAGCATTTAGAATTACCATTTTTTCTTGTTCTGAAGGCTTCCCAGCAAAGCACCTATCATTGATTCTCTTTATTGCAACATCAGTTCCTCTCCACTTCGCATGATAAACAGTTCCAAAGGTTCCAGACCCAAGTTCTCGCAATTCCTCAAGATCACTGTTCTTTATTATCTAAAAAAAAAATAAAAAGCAAGCATAAAAACTAAAGAAGATCAAAATTATATGTCAAAAACATAACATAACATAGAAGCATAATGAAGTCCATTGAAACCTGCAGCCGTCCAATGTCATCTGCAATGTGAAGGCCAGCCTTGGGCTTGTTATCCTGAATGTTAATCCAGTGCTTTGGTAAATATGACGACCACATAAGATACAAGAAAGACACATTGTATCCTTCTCACCTCTATTTTTCTATCAGAGGAAGCTAATGCTCTTTGTAGCTCCGCGTTACCCTCACCCTCAGCAGTCTTCCTTTCATCCCTAAATTCTATGTTAACTTTATTTGCATCATGATCAAAGAAAACAGGAGGAGTAGATGAATTAAGAACAGAAGATGCTACACCCTCAGCAACAGCCTGCAAATCTTGTTTGATTTGGTCCTCCCCTGATAGATTTTGCAATCAAAAAAAGAAAAAGAAAAAAACATCCAATATCATTGCAAAATGAGGACTAAAGAGATTAAACAGACCTTTTGCTGGTTGCCGATAATGGGACTCCTTCTTTAGGGAGTCAGGAGAGGGGTGAAGTCCACCTTCCTCAAGCAGCGCAATTATCTCTGACTCAGTGCTATTTCCTAAATGAACCTGAACACCCGAATCCTTCGGAGCAATGGATTCTCTGCTAGCCACCTTTCTAGGTTTTGGAGGCAGTGGATTAGCACCACCTAAGATTTTCCTAGGGTCCTGGTTGCAGAAAAGCGAGTCTGTGGGAGCTGGTTCTAGAAATGTCTCAACAAGCCCAGTAGGACTGGTAGTATTTGATATCCCAAATGGAACATTTTCACTCTGAGACACACCAAGGTGATCAAAGTGTAACTGATTGGAATCATCCCCTGTCTCCCTAATGGGTATCTTATTGATTAGTCTATCATTGTAAGCAGGATCAATATCGGTAGTATATCCTGGCATAGCAAGCAAACCTTCACTAGGAATCGGTGGTTCTCTTATGCCTAGATGTTGAGGAAATGGGTCCTGGTTTCCTGCCATGACTAATGCTTGACCAGGATCAACAACTGGGAAATTTTGCATGTGACCAAAATCTGAAGTATTTGTTGAGAGTTGATCGTTAGGCCTAACATAGCTTCTCTCTTGAACTCCAACATTAGCTAATGGCCTACCTTGCAACATTACATTTCCAACTTGTGGCACATATTTGTAAACTCCATCCACAACCAAAGGTGAGCTATTCGGCAACATCACATTCCCCAGTCCATTAAACCCTGAAGTAGTTGTCGCATTCAAATGAAGCCCCTCCATCATTCCATTGATAGGCCTAATGTATTCGTTAGCAAATTCAGGTGGTCCCTCGATATTCCTAGCTGAACCTAAATCTTTACCAGTAGGCATGGGTCTAGCGATGGCTTTGGGCTTAACAGGATAATGAGATGAGACCGCATTTTGCTGCTGCCACTTCTGCTGTTGCTGCACTTGAGGATCCTGCTGTCTAGACTGTGGGAAATTCCCAAAGAAACTATAAGGAGATTGCTGTGTACTCGGAGGAACAAAAACCCTAGCTTGATCCACATTCTCCATCTTCTGAACAAATGGTCTCTCTCCTTGATAGTGTGCATCACTAACCTGTGAAAACCCATAACCTCCCAATTGACTCTCACCCAAAATTTGAGGCAATGCCCTAGATTTCATAGCATCCTCCGATTGCTGACTATAAAACACTGGGCTCATCACGCTCCCTGGTGATCCACTCCCGATATTTGGCGACACTAATGTATCTGAATGAGAATGAGGCAACATTTTCTCACACATATAACAGTCATCCACTCTCATCCCCGCCTCTTGGCTTGTCACTGGACTCAAATTATACCCAAAAGCTTGTTGGTAAGCCGGTGGCAATGGTGGAAACTGCGACAAAGGCTGCGCCATCCAATTACTAACTTGAGCAGCAGGAGAGGCTGCTGCAACACTAGCATTAACTTGTAAAGGAGCTGCATTTGCATTCAAATAATGAACTTGGTTAGGATCTAAGCAGCCAGAATTCAGGGTTTGCTCACCAAAACCATCGACAACATCGACCCCACTATTCGAAGATCCAGCGCTGAATCCGCTATCCTTCCTCTTCAAGCTCCCAAAGCTCC